AGCGCCACCGCGCTTCCCAAGCGGCGCACTATCCAGTGCGCCACTGGGCCGGCCCGTTTTACGTAGTTTTTAAGGGCACACTTTAAGAGACATTACGGAAATGCAGTGCAGCGGGAAGCTTAAGAGGGAATGAAGGCCCAAGTACTGATTTTTTATAAACATACCCAACAGCTGTGTTGACACCAGTTGTGCATAGTAAGTTTGCTTGCAAAGCCCTGTGCATGTGTCAAAGGGCATCACCTTTAACCTGTCACTGTAGCATCCCTTTTTTAGACAGAGGGTAATCCACACTGTGATTAGTGACCCACCCATACCCCTGGGAGCAAAAGCAAGTGACAGGAGGGGCCGTGTGTTCAGCCCACGCTGTTGTCCTTGGCAGGAGTCAGGACCAGACACGTCACCTCTCTGAAGAGTCCATAAGCACCAGTGAGAATAAGGGGTTCTTGCCCCCAGGTTAGGAGGAGTGAATGTTCGGTCCCCGTGCGTGACTCGGTTTGCTTCTGCATTCCAGGAGAAGCAGGACAAAGCGGTTCTCCAGGCCGAAGTGCAGCACCTGAGACAGGACAACCTGAGGCTGCAGGAGGAATCCCAGACGGCGGCCGCGCAGCTGCGGAAATTCACAGAATGGTTTTTCAACACCATTGACAAAAAACCGTAGGCAGTCTGCACCTCATCGGAGGGCCATCGGGAAACGCCTCTTGTCCCTTCGCAGTCGCCAGCGTGTGGTTCTTGAGTGTGCTTCTAGCCAGCCGTAGATATTTTTGCTGTTCCATTCTGTGTAGCACCGTTCACCCCAGCAGGGTAGAGAACGAGACTGTCTCCCGTAGCTGCAGAGGACAGAGGACAGCCGCGCGACACGAACGTGAATGTAACTCCTAGTGAAGATGAATGTAGACCCTGGTGTCCATCTGGACCGTTCTCTTTTAGACTCTACTAAAGCGGTGCTCCGGCGTGGGCTTACCTCAAGAGGGGAGATAGTTGGGTTTTATTTCCTATATATCAGGTGACCTGGTAGAGATATTAAAGTGATTTACCATAGTTTAGGCTTTAGTATTGTAAAATAAGCGCAAAAACAGATAATCAGACATATACTTTAATGTTAAAGGTGCTCTATTTTTTTGGATGTAGAGTAGTTTTATTTCCACAGCCACATTATCATAGCAATAAGGAAAGAGGCACAGTAAATAGAAAAGCTTTGGCGGGGTGGGGGGAAAAGCACTGTTGGGTTTAACACTAGTTTGAATGCAATTAGAGATTTATTTATTTGCAGGAGTAAATGGTGCCTGGATGTTAACAGTGTTCTGATGAAAAGAAAAAAAAGATACCTATGCCTTGTCGATGGCTCACCGAGGGGTCAGTCCAGCTCCTGAGTCACTCTTGCATCGTTGCTGTGCTGAGAAGGATCAGGCTGCTTACTCAATAGAATTAATATGCAGGGAGCCAGCAGGATCACGTGTACAATGCCAGATTTGTTTACCTTTGTACAGAAGCTCTGATGAAATGTCTTGTATTTAACACCCTTATTTAAGCTTATTTAACCTTAACTTTTTAATTTTATAGGNGGAAGTGGGATCCCCAGTTTACAGCCAAGTAAACCATAGCTCAAGTTAAGTAATTTACCCATGGTTGCTTTTCTTCTTTAATTAGCATCTTTTTAGCAATGAATTTGGTGTTGCTTACAAGAAAATACAAACAACGAAATAGTAGGAATTGAAAAGTAATCAGGAAGAGGTAAACTGTAAATCTGAATCAAATGTGAGACAGGAAGAAGGCACAGAACACAGGCCCAGGTAAGACAGGAAACCCTGTAAGGTACATCACCGTCAGCCTTCTGAGGACAGAAACCATATTAAGAATTCAGAGGAAGCAAAATGATTCTTAGAGGGCCAGCCCGGTGGCTCACTCGGTTGAGTGCAGCGCTTGGGAGCATGGCGGCGCTCCCGCCAAGGGTTCGGATCCCATATAGAGACCGGTCCGCTCACTGGCTGAGCGCGGTGCAGGCGCAACACCGAGGGTTGCGATCCCATTACCGGTCACGAAAAAAGACAAAAAGGAAAAAAATATGATTCTTAGAACTGGCCCTAAAAGGAATTTCCCACGTGGGCTTTGCCTGACAGGTGTATTGAACAATGTCGTTAACATTCCTGTAGCAGTAGGGACAGGTGTATTGATCAGTGTCCTTAACATCCCTATAAAAGTAGGGACAGGTGTATTGATCAGTGTCCTTAGCATCCCTGTAACAGTAGGCACAGGTGTATTGATCAGTGTCCTTAACATTCCTGTAGCAGTAGGGACAGGTGTATTGATCAGTGTCCTTAACATTCCTGTAGCAGTAGGGACAGGTGTATTGATCAGCGTCCTTAACATCCCTGTAACAGTAGGGACAGGTGTATTGATCAGTGTCCTTAACATTCCTATAGCAGTAGGGACAGGTGTATTGATCAGCGTCCTTACCATCCCTGTAACAGTAGGGACAGGTGTATTGATCAGCATCCTTAACATCCCTGTAGCAGTAGGGACAGGTGTATTCATCAATGTCCTTAACTTTCCTGTATCAGTAGGCTCCGTAAGGCTGTTTCTTGTTGTCACCCTCTAGGAAAAATACAGGCTCCTCCAAAATGCATCCAGGGAGTGCAGCTTTTCAGGGAATCGGGATGTTATGGGCCAAGCAGATGTCATCCTCCCTTCCTCCCCTTCTTTCCTCCCTATCACTGTGTCTAGGCACTGAGCCAGAAGCCAAAGATCCAGCAGTGACCTTCAGGGACCAAGGTCCCCATCTTCAAGGGCATACAGTCTGACATGGGGAGACAGACATCATTTGAAAATCTGGAAGAAGGAAATGAAAAGAGCGCCTGGGGGGCTATGTTCATTAACGATCATACATGCCTTTGTAGAGTGCTCAGCTCCCGGGCCTGGGCACCGTCCGGGCCTTTAGCATTCATATAGCAGCCCTATGAGGCAGATGCTAGGATCACTTCCTTTTTAAAGATGAGAATCGAGATGTAGGTAGGGCGGTCTGTGGGCTGGTGAGTGGTCCAGGTAGAGAGGGCAGGGGGTTCTAAGTCCTGGGGTCTCAGTGTGTTCCAGGAATCTACCGGAAGCCAGGACATGCGGAGAAAGGCAATGCACTGGAGGTGGGCTTGAGGAGGTGGGCAAACACCACATCACTAGAGACCAGTTGGCCATGGTCAAATTCGGATTTTGTCCTAAATCAAGTGACGCAGGAAGCAACCTGTAGATCTTCAAACCCTTTCCGTACAGTGCACAGAGTCAATATTTTAGGCTTCAGGAATCACGTGCTACCTCCGTTGCATATTTTTAAATTTCTACAAACCAGCCTTTAAGAACGGGAAGAGCTGTTCTTAGTTTGCAAGGCCATGCTAAAACAGGCCACCCCCCAACATTGGGGACCAACCCCAGGCACGAGGCAGAGAACAGGAGCGGAGGACCAGGCCAGGTGAGAGTCGGTGCCGGGGCGGCCTGCAGTGAGGCTGTGCAGGTGGAGCCAGGGGTGGGCTGAACGTGAGAATGTGTTTGGAGGCAGAGCCCAGACTCCTGATGGGTCGGGGACAGGAGGGAAAGGTTTGCTGCAGGAATAAATTCCAAACCTCAGAGGAATGAATGAGCCGTGTGTTCTCGAGACAGTTCTCCGTAAATACTTCCTGTCTTAAGTAAAAGCTTAACCACGTACATGTGTGTTCCTGGGAAGGGCCCAGCATACAGCCTTCTGCGTCATTGATGAAGGGTGATTGGCTTTACAGAGCAGCTTACTGGATGGAAAGGTTGACATTGTGCAGATGGAGAAAATAGAAGAATTAGACGAAACTAGCTTTATGGAAAGCCATCTCACCTTCGTAAGGCACACCTGTAGACAAGACCAAAAGGCACTTAAAACAAACAAACAAACCAACCAAAACAAAAAAAAAACATCGTATACTTGTGTAAGAATGAGTAATCTCTCAAGTCTTTCTCCAAAGGGATGTGCCAAAAAAATGACTTTGGCCTGTTAAGCTCTTTTTCAAATGGATGTTTCTAGTGAATAACCAAGCCATGGAGCAAGCCCTTTCATGCTCTCATAGTACATGTGGTTTTGAGCAACTTGGCATCCTGGCAAATGCTGTCAGTCATAAAATGTGCCCCTTAACAACTGAACACGTTGACTGGCTAGAAGGACTCACTGGATATAAACTAAATATTGGAATATATTCTCTAAGATACTTATTTTTATTCTAGAATGATTAAGCAGGGTTTTTTTTCCTAACCGTATGGAGTGAACTGTTATGTATTAAAGCTGTTCTAGTACATCATGATTAAAATTAATTAGTATATTAGAGGCTTTTATTTTGCTATTCTCTGTAGCAAAAAGAAGGCTTGTCATTAAAAATATAAGTTACAGTTCGGGGGAATAAAAATACAGTCCTGTCTTTGTGGCCAGCAACTGTCTTTTGAAATGCCAGCAGCCTGTTGTCCCGCTGGCCCATTAAAACACAGAATCTGATTACCTGTCATTAAGCAGGAACCTTCACCAAACGCATGAAGCCATAAACCAAGCTTTTTGCCTACAGAGCCAAAGATCAAAGAGATAGCTATGAAAATAATAAGAATAAAGACCTATAACCATGGTCAAGAGTAAAGTACTTGAATAAGAAAATCACTTGTTCCTTGTTTAAAATATTGGCCCGAGCAACCTGGAACTGTGGTTTAGGGAGGGAATTGACAAAATTTAGACTGATCCACAAATGAATTCTCTAGTTTTGGAGAGATTGTAAACATAAGCTCTTGAAGAGTCGACTCTACTTTTGTGTCCAACCAGATGGACGTTATACGTCGCTAGGACCAAGCCACCATCTGCGACGGAACCCCCTCTTTCCCAGGACGGTCACTGTGCTGTCTTGCCATGAAGAACATTTGTGCCAACATGTCTCAAGGGACAGAGGCTCACTACTTCTAGCCTCAATCTTTGGAGATCATTAAATAGTCTCAGGTCCTCTGAAATCAAGCCAGTGTTGATTTTCAGAATGTCCGAGTTGCGGGATGGGGAGCGGGACGGGTGATAAAGGTTTTCACAGGCTCTTTGCTCCTTGGAATTACTGGTTGGTGAGAAAAAAGTTCGGCTCACGTGAGTGTCTGTGGATTTTGTGCTTATGAATTTAAAACCACCTTGCCAGCTCTAGCGTAAGCAATTCAGGCATGCCACTCAATCGCAGTAAAGAGTTGAGTGAGTTTGATCCATCACCTGATTAGAGGTAGGTTGGAGGTAAATGTGTTTATTTATCACCCACAGGAGAGAGAATGTTAAGAGATCTGCCAAAACCCAAGCAATGCATTAGGTTTCTCACCTGCGATTTCCAAATTAACCCAAAGGCTAAGATTCCTGACTTTCTTGAAACCTAAGCACAAAGTTTCCTCCTCATATATTTCAGAAAAGATTTAAATGGTCACAAAGGTCACATTGCATTTTAGGTCATCTTGTGATTCAAACGTCACATTTCGGCACTCTTGACACAAGATTTAGGGATTTTACTTTAAAAAAATAAAAAACTTCCGAGTTCCACAAACCCCCGTTCAATTCATCTTAATGCTGGAAAATGGATTAACCTCTTCAATTCTTATACTCAAGGTTTTAATTTACCATTAGCTTCTGCAGACTCTCAGAACATACTGATCTCTGTTTTCCATCCCTAATATCAGGGACCTGCCTAAAATTTGCAGAGCAGCCTGGTTTTTCAGAAGAAGGGCTAAAAATAATGAGCCCTCTTGACAAGCAATGCTCTCTGGCTGCTAAACTGTAGCTGAGTTATTAAAGAGCAAAATCAGGGCTAAGACTTCCGATGTCCTGGCTGTCAGTACCCATCAATCATGCTGTTAGGCACTGGTGCTGCACGTGATGTTGTTTTAGTGTCAGCTGCACTCCCAGCCTTCCTGCAATCCAGCAAAATCCACCAGAAAGGCTTTGTGCAGGAGGGGACTCAAGGTTACAGCAGTTCAGGAAATTATCCACCTCGACCCAATCCGTGCGGGCTATAAATACGCATCTGCAGATGGAGATTTCAGACCTGGCAGAATCTCTTCCATCACTGTGTGTAAAATAAATTAGGCCTGGGTGTCTAGGTCCTTGCCCCTGGTCCCCATGACCATGATCATTTATGGCAAGGCAAGCAGATCTAGCTGAATGCACCATTAAACTGGGATAATTAAACACCAGCCATGCATTCCTCTAGGAAGTGATTAAACCCCTAGCAGAACCCCATCTGGGCTGAGGACTGGCCAGACACAGGCTAGAGCCACAGCCCCCACTTCCATGCATGTAAAATTCCGAGAACGGGCATTCGAGAGCCCTTTAAGTTCTTGAGAACTCAAATGCCACTGCTCATGAGAGGAAGTGCGCGTAACCTCTCGATTCCTCCTTGATTCTTTTCCATTGTTATTCTTGAATTATTGGAGGTAGATGTTCAGCCAACATCATCTTAAAACCATGCCATTTCTGCTGGTTGTATAGAGAGAGGCCTGGCGGTGACCCAGTTAATGACATGCAGGCCACTTGCTTGTACTAA